TTTGTGAAGGGTCTCTCTGGCTTTTGTATCTCTCCTGCCACAACTTGGCAGTGGGAATCATCTTTATTTTTTTTATTTTTTTTATTTTTTTTTTAGAGCCGAAGAGAACACCTCACTTAAAAACACGTATTTCTATGTAATTCCTAACTTCCAAAACACTTAAAGGATTAAAGGAAAAAAAAAAAAAAACAACTTCTGGTGGGGAATCGCCACCAGGTCCCTTGTAGGTGGCACCCTGCGGGGCTGGCGCTGCGTGTCCCGGCGGGTCGCTCGGGCTCGCCGGGCGGCAGCTCAGCGCTCCGAGGTTCACCAGGCGTTAATGCATCATTTCCATAAACAAATATCTTTTTGTTGTTGCCCAGGAAGTATTGACGATGGATTTTCTCCTCCCGCAGAACGGTGCCATGTTGTCCGTTTCAATGAGACTTAAACAAAAGAGATGAATAAAACAAAGGTACATATTTATGAGCTTTTTTGATGGAAAACACACGCTTCCTCTTTTAATTTTAGAGACACCAGTGGCCCGAAGTGTTAAACGGGTGGGGGGGGGCTGAGAGACCTTGTTACTAACAAGAATGGATTTAATTTCTTTTTTTTTTTTTATACAGAGAGAGAAATTTAAAAATAAAAAGCACCCGATAAGGTGGTGCTTCTCTAACTGGGGAAAATCCTGCTTTACGTGGCCGGAGCCGGCAGCGGCAGCGCCGCGGCGGGGGGAAGGAGAGGGAATAAACACCGGCTGGTAACGTGCCAGCGGCGGCTCTCGGGGCACCGAGGAGCGGCACCCTTGGCAAAATTCCCAGTGTGAATTTGTTGGGTTTTTGGGGTTTTATTTTAATTGCCGGGTCGTGCCCGATGTGCAGAAAAAAGAGGAGAAAAAAAAAAAAAAAAAAAATCAGGCCCTTTCCACCACGGTTGGCATATCCAAAAATCTCACATAGTTTCATACTCTCAGAGAAGAGAGATGTGTGTTTCAGGGAACTACCAGAGCAAGCAGTGTTATAAATAATCACTTATTTCCACACTGCCTTTTCCCATAACACCCTCCCTGATGCTTAATCGTCTCTGCTCTTTTGCTCTTTCCTTGATACACACAACACTTCTACAGAGGATGGGGACAGGACAGAGTCTGAATAGGGCCTGAACCGGGCACCCCCAACCCGGCCTCCCCGCGGGCTCTGCCGCTCCCTGGTGCCCGTTGCCCCCTGGACCCTGGCGTTGGGGCCTCAGCTGTAGCTGTGGTTTAGGGTGGTCTGTCCCAGTTTTTCCCAAAGCAAAGCCAGTGCCCGGCGGTGCCAGTGCTGCCCATTCCCCGCCAGCCC